CATTTGCAGCCAAATAGGTCTATCAGCCCATTTCCTCCCTAAAGTCCTAGAAGTACAACAGCATTTCTTCATTCCGTCTTAACTCTGTCACCTTCAGTCCAAGCCAGCAGTGTTTCTGCTGAGATGGTTGGCTGGATTCACAAACCATAGCCTTGGTGTTCTCTTCTGAACATGCTTTCTTATCATTTGCAATATGGATAGCCTGAGAATTTGCCAAATTTTCAAGTTCTAGTTCCTTCTGGCTTAAAAGTTTCTGTTTCAATTTATCTCTCTTCCTTCACTCACATTTTATTATAAATAGCAGCAGACTGTGCCTTCAACACTTTTCTTAGAAACAGCTTCAGCTAAATATCTGAGTTTATTACTTACAAGTTCTACTTTGTATCCAATAGAACACAGTACAGCCAAATTTTCTGTCATTTCATAGAAAGGATCACCTTTTCTCCAGTTTCCTATAATGTTTTCCTCATTTCCATCTTAAACGTCACCAGAAGCATCCTAGGATTCATCTCTCTAGCAATACTCTGTTCATAACAATATATCTATTCTCTAAGGTGCTGAAAGCTTTCTCCATAACCTTCCTCTTTTCTTTCTGAGCCCTCACTAGAATCTCCTTTAACACCTGTGTTTCTACCAACAGTCTCTTCAAGGCAATCTAGGGTTTTTCTGTCATACCTCTCACAACTCTCTCAGTTTCTACTCATCACTCAATTCCAAAACCACTTCTACATTTATAGGTGTTTGTTACAGCAGCATTCCACAGTCCAATCACAAAATCAGTGTTAAGTTTCCTAGAAATTCCATAACGAAGCACTAACGACTGGATGGCTTAAGCAACATAAATTTATTGCCTCAAAGCTCCAGGGGTGAAAACACAGAGATCAAGATAGCAGGATTTGTTCCTTCAAATGGATATAAGAGAGAATTTGTTCCATGTCTTTCTCCTTGCTTCTGGTTGTTTTTTGGCAATCTTTGATGGTTCCTTGGCTTGTAAATGTATCACTTGGATTTTTGCCTTTATCACATGGTATGCTTCCTAGGTTTCTTCACATAGTCTTCCCTCTCTGCAACTCTGTCACCAAATTTCTCCATTTGTATAAGAACACCAGTCATATTGGATTAGGACCCACCTTAATGATCTTATTTTAACTTGATTATCTCTGTAAAGATCTTATTTCCAAATAAGATCACATTCTGAAGTACTGGGGTTTGGGATTTCAACATATCTTTTTTTGGAGATACCATTTGATCCATGATACTCAATAAATTATAAGCATTTCCAACCAGTGCAGCAGCTCACACCTGTAATCCCAGCACTTTGGGAGGCCAAGGCAGGTGGATCAAGACCAGCCTGACCAACATGGTGAAATCCCGTCTCTACTAAAAATACAAAAATTAGCCAGGTGTGATGGTGTGCACCTGTAATCCCACTACTCAGGAGGCTGAGGCAGGAAAATCACTTGGACCCAGGAGGCGGAGGTTGCAGTGAGCCAAGATTGCGTCATTGCACTCCAGCCTGGGCAAAAGAGTGAGACTCTGTCTCAAAAAAAAAAAAAAAAAAAATTATAAGCATATCCTAGCAGTAAGTCAAGATTTTCAAACACAGGTTAACATATCTTCTAGTTAAATAAAACATACACTTGGGTTGTTATATATTTACTAATGAGTCCATTCATTTAGTATTTATTGAATTCCTACTATGTGTCGGACATTCTCTAGCATCATGGAGTTCTTGAACTTAGATGAGAAATAATTTACATCGTTTCTTTCATTAACCTCTTTGAAAACTACCAATCTTTCCTGATATGGATGTTGGTAACAAACCACAGTAGTGTTAGCAGGACCTGTAACTTTATTACATACAGCTTTTTATACCGTATATCACAGACCTTTTCATAGCGCACAACAGTTGTAGGAGAGACTTCAGTATATGGTTTATGATCTTCACTAACTTGAAATTATGAATGATTGCAATTTTTGGTAGATCTCAAGTACTCTCCCCCTTTTTTTTGAGACAGGGTCTGGCTCTGTCACCCAGGAGTGCAATGGCATGATCTTGGCTTGCTGCAACCTCTGTCTTCTGGGGTTCAAGGGATTCTTTTGCCTTAGCCTCCAAAGTAGCTGTGACTACAGGTACATGCCACCACACCTGGCTAATTTTTGTATTTTTTTTTTTTTTTTTTTGTAGAAATGAGGTTTCGCTGTGTCGCCCAGGCTGGTCTCAAACTCCTGGGCTCAAGTAATCCACCCACCTCAGCCTCCCAAAGTGCTGGAATTACAGGCTTCAGCCACTAAGCCTGGCCTGCTCCAAAGAAAATAAAACAAGATGATGTGTTCATAGAGAGACACATATATTGTTACATCAAACTTTCAAAAGACTTTGGATTACTACATAATTCTTAAAAAGAAAGCTGTAAACTGTATTCAACTTTAAAAAAAGATTTTGGGTAATTAAAACATTTCAGATAATTTCAAGATAATTGATTTATTTTCTAAAAATCTGTGTATGTTATTTTACTCATTTAGCAGTGTTGTCCTGAGAAGCGTTCATAGGGTTCACTAGATTCTTCAGAAGTTTCACCACACAAAAAATGATTCAGAAACATTATTCGAGATGCTGGAAATAAAGTAGCAAACAAGTCAGTGAAGGTCCCTGCTTCCACAGAACTTACCTCGGGGGACGAGGAAAGAGGAAGATGACAAACAGTAAACAGAGAATCAGCAGATTTTTCGATAGTCATAAGGGCTGTGTATACAACTCATGCACGTGTGTGTGTGTGTGTGTGTGTGTGTGTGTGTGTGTGTGTGTGTGTGCGCGCCTGCCTGTATGTAGGAGAGTAGGAGCAATAAGAGAAACCAGATCATGTACAGCATGTAGACTAGTGTAATAAGTTTCAATTTTATTCTAATCACATTGTGTGTCCATTAAAGATTTTTTAAATTGTGATAAAATACACATAATGTAAAATTTACCATCTTAATCATTTTAAGGTACAGTTCAGTGGCATTAAGTGCATTCACATTAATGTGTAACTATTGCCACCATCATCCATGAGACTTTTTATCTCACAAAACTAAAGCTCTGTACCCATTAACCAATAACCCCCTTCCCTTCCTCATCACTGGAGCAGTAACATGATGTGTTTGACATTTTAAAAGCATGACTTCATTTAAAAAGCATGAAGACAATGTTGCTAGGCAAGAATAGAAGTGCCAACAGGAAACCAGCTAGGGAATATGGCAGACGAGAGGTGACAGTGGATGAACTATGGTGTTGACAGAAAATGGATTTGAAATGGACTTTGGCAGTAAATCAGACGGGATTAGATGATGGACTGGAATAGGTATGGTGGAGGACTTGGGTTCTGTTTCGGACATGGTAAGTCTGAATTGCGTCTTTGCCGTCCAAGTGGAAGTCTCTAACAGTTGGGTAGACAAGTCAGGGTTCAGGAAAAACACCAGGATATATTGCAGAGTCCTGGGCAAATGAGTGGTATTTGAAGCAATGGGAATGGATGAGATTATCCAGGAAGATCATATAGATAAAGAACAGGCCCGGGAATAATCTCTGGGGTACTGTCATTGTTTAGAGGTCAAGTTGAGAAGAAGAGAACTTTATGAGTGGCTTGTTCCAATCTTAGAGAACTTAGTGCTGTAGGAACGTGGATCTAGGCTCAGACAAACAGACACTTCCAGTTGAAAATTCCATCAAACTAGTCTTAGCCAGGTTGTACTGCGTCTGGCTATGAGAGAGGGGCAATCTCATCTTCTAATTTACATTTAAACCTAGGACTTCTAAGATGGCGCTGGGATGGAGGAGGCAAGACAGCATCACAGAGAAATTGTTTTATTATTATTTTATTCTTTATAATTTCAACTTTATTTTAGATGCAGGGGGTACATGTGCACGTTTGTCGCACTGGTATGTTGCATGATGCTAAGGTCTGCGGTGTGATTAATCCCAACATCCAGGGATTAATAGGTAATTTTGCAACTCTGGCCCCTTTCTACCCTCCCCTCTGTCATGGTCCCCAGTATCTGTTCCCATCTTTATGTCCACGAGTACCCAACGTTTAGCTCCTGCTTATAAGAGAACATACAGTATTTGGCTTTCTGTTTCTGAGTCAATTCATTTAGGATAATGGCCTCTAGCTACAGTCATGTTGCTGCCAAGGACAGATTTCATTCTTTTTTATGGCTGTGGAGAAATAATAATTTGAAAGCATTCAACAAATTATTGAATGTAGAAAACATAATTATATAAATGGAATTAACATAATATTAACAAATCAAAGAGGAGGTAAATATTTCTTGGAAGAAAACCTTTCAGTAAGTATCTTTTGTCATCCCAGAAATTAAGGAGACTAAACATACATTTAAATTTTATCAGTCATACAATATACTATTTTATACATATTATGTATCAATAGCTATCTGATTGGTTGATCATGTAAGGTTTAAGAAGTGGTCCAAAATCAAGTTTGAAAAGTTATGTCATTTTTATGTATGTATGTTATTTTTTTGGTTCCAGTAAAAAAAAAATTAAATGTTTTTCAGTGATCTTTCAGTATCTAATAGTTTATCATCTCTAAATGTACTTTTTGAAAAATAAATTTTCTAACATGGGGTATAATATAACTTGAAATTCATGCTGTTAATTTATTCAGTTGTCACTATAGCCTGACCTCTTGGGTAGGATTTTAATTAACAAATTATGAAAATGTTGAATGTCATTTGACTTGTGATTTGATGCTTTTAATAGTTCGTGGTTTGCTAATTATTTGGAAATCTCTCACTCCTTTGTACTAGAAGAAGCATTCTGGCTTCTGCATGTGTTCCTGTTTGCCATACTCAAACATTTGGGAAATGGAAATAGGGAAGCAGCAGCTTCTTAGAAAAACTGTAGATGAATGGAACAGGAACTGCAAAGTTAGCAACATGTAAGAGGAACTGTCGATCTTGTCCATGATTGCTTTGGCTTATTTTTTCTCCTTTGCTAGGAGACCTGTTCTGATGATGTGTGTGGTCTTCACCACACTGCCCTCCCTCACCTTTTCCATAGCAGTGACTGAGGTATGGAATTTTGATTTCTTCTGCTACACGGTTCTGAAGTTTTATAATTTCTTGTTATTGAAATTTGATAGAGCAGTATGCTCAACAAATTTCTTGACATTTATGTAATCCAATCTTCCAGGTTGCAATATATGTTATTTAAAGTACTAAGATCATTTTTACCTCTGTGATTGTGAAGGAAAGTCTAATAGCCAATTTTTAAAAAATTACTTTTGTGTTTGTGTGTATGAGACAGAAATGAAATTTGAACATTTAAAAAGTGAAAAATGTGAAAGGTGATTTGTATTTGTTTCTTCTGTCAACCTGATGTTTTTTGTGATCGTCCCCAATTCCAAATGAATACAACACGATCTAAGGGAAGGACCACTTATATTGTAACACCTTGATAAGATGTCCATTGATAAATAATTTGCATGTTTTATTTATTTGAAAATAATGTTGAGTTTATGTTTGGATCAAATATAGCTTCAAAAGGTCTTGGATAGGTACCTACAGGGCAGGAATATTCAGGCTATGAGCACTTCATTATCCAACAAGGTCAGAGAAGAATGCCCCACTAATCTTATTAATTTGCAAGGTGCTGTGAAAGATAATTTAAATTTCCCCAAAGCGTACTTAATTTAGTTAAATGACTTAATTTACCTTGTGATGATATTTCACTTATATGTGGAGCAAATATTCACTAAGTGTATATTACAGGCCAGGCACTGTTAGGTACAGGGGATAGGGGACGTAGGAAACATGGCAGAGTCTCTGATATAATTTTCTGACATTAGAGAGAAAAATAAACAGGCAATTAGAACAAGTATTACAAGTGTTATGAGACAGGTCAGTACCGAGTAATGTATGAGATTAGAAATTACATGGTTGTTAGAATGCATCATAGGTGCTACTAGAATCCATCACAAATGCTACATTAGGACACTATATGAATGCGTGAAATAATTTTGGGAGATCATACAGGTGTGCTTTGCATCAAATGAACTGCAACAGATGAATATTTCTATCTAGATCTGTCTTTTCCCCTCCAAAAGACCTTGTAAATCATTTGGAAGGTTCCCAAAAGCTGTAAAAATTCTGTTTACAACCTTTCAAGAAACATTACTGCAATAAACTGATGGCACATCTGGAGCTTCGTAGCCCTTTTTGGTTCTATTTTGTGATGTCTCATCCACTGTTACTCCCTTCCCCTCCCCTCCCCTCCCCTTCCCTTTTTTTCTTATTTAATTTTCACCAAAGTATAACATATATAACACATAAAAAGTATAGTAACAATGGAACACCACGAAGCAACCCCCAGGTAAACATTGTTCAGGTCAAGGTCAAGAAGGAAACTTTGGCCAGCTCCACACCAATGTTCCTTTATTGTATTTTATTTTTGTATAAAACAACCCATGGCTTGCTCTTTTTATTTTTCATGCTGCTTTTAATGACTCCCTTTCCCTCCTTTCCAGAAGTCACTTCTTACTTGACTTCTGATACTGCAGGCTAGTTTGTCTGGTTTTTGAACTTTTTCCAAGGAGAAATCAAATGATATCTGGCTTCTTTTATTTAAAATATGGTTGTGAGGGTCGTTCGTGTTTTTTTGAATACCAGAAGCTCATTCAGTTTCATCGTAGAGTATTTCCTTATATGAAAAGATCATAATTAACTTATGTTCTGCTCTTGGTCGCCATCTTGCTTGTTTCCAGTTTCGGCAATTACAAATAATGTGGCTGTGCACATCTGCGAAGATGCCTTTTGGTGTGTGCGTATTTCTGTTGGTTACATATGCAGGAGCAGAACTGATGAATCATGAGATCTTGAAATGTTGAATTGTGACAGATAAGCTCAAACAGCTTTCCAAACAGATTGTACTGATTTTTATAGCATCACTATAGAACTCACCAGCAGAGAAGGAGCATTCACCACCGCTTGCATTGTGTCTTTTTTTTTTTTTTTTTTTTTGAATGGAGTCTCGCTCCCCAGGCTGGAGTGTAGTAGCAAGTACAATCTCTGCTCACTGCAACCTCTGCCTCCAGGTTCAGGCAATTCTCTTGCCTCAGCCTCCCTAGCAGCTGGGATTACAGACGTCCACCCCCTGCCCCAATAATTTTTGTATTTTTAGTACAGACAGGATTTCACCATATTGGCTGGTCTGGTCTTGAACTCCTGACCTTAAGCGATCCACCCGCTTCGGCCTCCCAAAATGCTGAGATTATAGGCATGAGCCGCCACGCCCAGCATCATCATGTCTTTTTATTTCAGCTCTTCTGGTGGGTGTGATTCTGAATCTCTTTGTAGTTTAAATTACATTTCTCCAGTAATTACCAAGGTTGAGCATCTTTTTGTTGTGCCCATTTTTTTTATTGTGTTGCTTATTTTAAAAAAATCTATTTGGAAGACTTATTTTCATATTCAGATTACACAAACTCCTTTTGATTATATGTGTTGCAAATATCTTTCCTCTCTGTAATTTGTCTTCACTCTTTTATATATTTTTGATGAAAAGAAATTCTTAAAAAAATAGTCCAATTTATCTATTTATTTTCTTTATGGACAGTGCTTCTGGTCCCTTATAGAAGATTTTTTTATTGTGAATCTGAACTTCAAAATCTTAAAATCTTTCCCCAAATATTAAAAAAAAAAAGTATATGTATGTATATATATATATGTATATGCGTATATATACACATATATATGCATATACATATATACATACATATACATATATATTTTTAAAATTTATATTTTAAATTACATATATATTTTAAATATACATATACATATATACACAATACAAATATATATGTATATGTATGTATGTGTGTGTATGTGTATATATACATACACATATATATACACAAAACAAATGTGTGTATATATATGTGTATGTATATATGTGTATATATATGTGTATATATGTATATGTACATATGTGTATGTATACATATACATATATATATACTCACATTTGTATTGTGTATATATATGTGTATATATATATACACACATATATGGGCCGGGCGCGGTGGCTCAAGCCTGTAATCCCAGGACTTTGGGAGGCCGAGGCGGGTGGATCACGAGGTCAAGAGATCGAGGCCATCCTGGTCAACATGGTGAAACCCCGTCTCTAGTAAAAATACAGAAAATTAGCTGGGCATGGTGGCGCATGCCTGTAATCCCAGCTGCTGGGTAGGCTGAAGCAGGAGAATTGCCTGAACCCAGGAGGCGGAGGTTGCGGTGAGCCGAGATCGCGCCATTGCACTCCAGTCTGGGTAGCAAGAGCGAAACTCCGTCTCAAAAAAAATATATATATATATATACACACACACATATATATGTATATATGTATGTGTGTGTATATATATATACACACACACATATATACACAATACAAATATATATACATGTATATGTATATATATATACACACACATATATATACACACATATATACATATACATATGTGTGTGTACGTGTGTGTGTGTGTGTGTGTGTATATATATATATATATATATATATGTATGTATATATATATATTTTTTTTGAGATGGAGTGTTGCCCTATCACTCAGGCTGAATGCTGTGGTGCGATCTCTGCCCACTGCAACCTCCTCCACCTCCTGGGTTCAAGTTATTCTCCCCTCTCAGCCCCCCAAGTAGCTTGGACCACAGACGTGTGCCACCACACCTGGCTAATTTTTGTATTTTTAATAGAGACTGGGTTTCACCATGTTGGCTAGGTTGGTCTCAAACTCCTGACCTCAAGTGATTCACCTGCCTTGGCTTCCCAAAGTGCTGGGATTGTAGATGTGAGTCACCATTCCCCACCTCCTGATTATATTTTGAAGGCTATATTGTTTCTTCATTGTTTTTTAGATTCACGATACATCTGGAAATGATTTTTGTATATGTTCTGTAGCAGTGAGTTAATTTTTTCCCAGTATAATATTAAATGGATCGAGCACCATTTATTGGTCTGTCCTTCCCGCATTTCTCTGCTGTGCCACCTTTGTTATAAATCAAGTGCTGGTATCCATAATTCCTATGCCAACACCACACTGTCTTAGTTATTGCAGCTTTATACTGGTTCTTTATATCCAGAAGAGTAAATCTTCCTAGCTTGTTCTGTTTCTTCTAGAATTTCCTGCCTTTTGCATTTCCATTTAAATTTTAGTATCAGCCTGTCCTTTTCCACAAAAAGTTAGAATATTGATTGAAGTTGCATTGAATAGCATCATTTAAAAAAATTTCACATATTTGAACTCTTTTGTCTTTGGTATTTAGAAATAATCTATCCATTTGGGGGAGATTTTCTCTATGTGCAATTAAATAGCTTATGAATAATTGTATTTTGTTTTTCTTCTTTCCAATATTTACACTGTTATTTTTATTTTTGAGATGGAGTCTTGCTCTGTGGCCCAGGCTGGAGTGCAATGGCATGATCTGAGCTCACTACAACCTCTGCCTCCTGGGTTCACGTGATTCTCCTGCCTCAGCATCCTAAATAACTGGGATTACTGGCATGTGCCACCATGCCTGGCAAGGTTTTTTTTTTTTTTTTTTTGAGGCAGAGTTTCACCATGTTGGCCAGGCTGGTCTCGAACTCCTGACCTCAGGTGATCCACCCACCTTGGCTTCCCAGGGTGCTGGGATTACAGATGTGAGCCACGGTACCCAGCCTACACTGTTAATTTCTTTCTCTGGCTCAGTACCCTGGCTAAGACCTCCAGGACAATGGACAATGCTGAACAGAAATTGTCACGGTGGCATCTTTGTTTCATTCCTGCTTTCAGAGGGAAAACTTTCAATATTTCACCATTAATACAGTGCTTACCATAGTTTTTTGTTATTGTTGTTTTGTTTCTGTTTTTTGGTGGAGCAGGGTCTTGCTCTGTCACCCAAGCTAGAGTGCAGTGTCACAATCTTGACTCATTGCAGCCTCGAGCTCCTGGGCTCAAGTGATCCTCCCACCTCAGCATCCTGAGTAGCTGGAACCAAAGCTGTGAGCCACCACACCCAGCTAATTTTTTAATTTTTTGTAGACATGGGTTCTGGTGTTGTTGCCCAGGTTGGTGTGAGCTCCTGGGCTCAAGTAATCCTCCCACCTTGGCCTCCAAAAGTGCTGGGATTATAGGTGTGAACCACTGCACCTGGTTTGCCACAGCTTTTTGTAAATACTTTAAGCAGATAGATGAAGGAAGTGTTCCGAAGTCTAGCTGGAATTATCTGAGTTCTGCCTTCTTGGAAGACCCTAAATGTTAATATTTGTCCCCCTAGCTCTTTGAGGCTGGATTCTTAGAAGTTCTGCACAGCAGTAGAGTTGGAAGGAGTTACCCCTTCAATATTACACCCAGTCCACAACTATATTTCTGCATGCATTTACCAAAGCCTGTCTTTAACTGAAAATATGCTTCCATTGATATGATTCCTTATGACAGCTTTAGAAATGGTTCGAAACCTTTTGGAGTTTAAAGCCTGACAAGCTCAAAACCTTCTAGTTTTTGAGTAAATGTAATTATAATTAATTTAGTGCTGCATTCAGACTGTTGAATTCATTTGAATTAAATTATAATTTAATGCTTCTAAACGGTTTTCTCTAAACAGGTTCAAAAGAGCATTAATGGGTCCTCTGATGTCTTACCTGATATGTTACCTGACCTGCCGGTATCTCTGGTTCTGTCATCCCTGATCATAATTGATATTATTGAAAAACTCAGGATATATCCTCTTAGAGGGTATCAAAAGAGTAAGTGTTCTTTTAAATATAAATATTTTTTAAAGTTTGATATATATTTTACCTTTCTGCCACTCTGTTATCTGACAACAGGTTTAATGATACCTTTTCTTAGGGCTAACATTACTGATGAAGATTGCAAATGAAGATATCTAAATATAATTATTTTTAAACCTACCTTGATAGCTAGATAGCTATTTTTGTTTCCTATATGCATTTTGGTAGTACTGATAAATTAAAAATTATCAAATAGTTAATACCAAAACCTTAATATGTATTCCAGCAAGAAAGTATTCTAGTAAATTATTATAGATCTATATTTTTCTAGGAAATCTCTTAAACCTTATGTTTAAATGCATTAATAAAAAGCTTAGTTTTGAGACTTTTACTACAGGAATTAATATGACTGCAGTAGTTGTGTCCTAGATAATCATGTGTTTTAATTTATGAATTATAAAAATATGCCAAAGATCACATTAATAAAACCAAGATATGGCTGGGTGTGGTGGCTCAGGTCTGTAATCCCAGCACATTTGGAGCCCAGGATGGGAAGATAGCATGGGTTCAGGAGTTTAAGACCAGTCTGAGCAACATAGCAAGACACCATTCCTATAAAAAATAAAATTTAAAGAAAACCCAACAAGATATGCCACATTTCCTCCAAAGTGATGCCTTGAAACTAAATACAGGTTGGCCCTTAGAAAAGGGTATTTTGTTAATGGAATGTTTTATTTATTTAGTCATACATAAATTCCTCCAACTTTCATTAAATTTCATGCAGTAGTATCTGTGTTTATTTGGCAATATTGGTATGCTAGTTACTGTGTGGCTAAGATATTGTCATGTGCATTTGAAATGGTTAAGGTTTGTCAGATTGTTTTCTGATGCAGTGAATGCAGTCAACTAAGTGAGCCTCAGGAAACAGCTTCAGAGTGATGGGGGTCACCACAGGTGCCCGTCAATCATTTATGGGTCAGGTACCGGTGTCTTCCAGTCACTCTTGCCAGCTCAGAAGGAAAGGAAAACTGAGTTGGAGGCCACTTGGAAATTGGAAAATCTGAGCCTGTCGCTTTGTACTTCATCCTTGGGTGGAAGATGACAGTCTCTTATGTCTAACATAACACAGGTGATATGTAGGTAGATAAGATGGCAGCCAGGGTCATCTGTTGAGCAGAAGGCACACCCAAGTCACACCTGCCCTCCAAAGTCAAGTGTATTTGCCTTAACTCAGGAGAACTGGGAATCTCCAAATTCTTTGCCATATCTCTAGATTCCTTAAAAATGCAAACGTATGGCTGGGCACGGTGGCTTATGCCTGTAATCCCAGCACTTTGGGAGACCGAGGTGGGTGGATCATGAGATCAGGAGTTCAAGATCAGCCTGACCAACATGGTGAAACCCTGTCTCTACTCAAAGTCCAAAAATTAGCCAGGCGTGGTAGCAGATGCCTGTAATCCCAGCTACTGAGGAGGCTGAGGCAGGGAATTCCTTGAATCCGGGAGGCAGAGGCTGCAGTGAGCCAAGATCTCGCCACTGCACTCCAGCCTGGGTGACGGAACAAGACTGTCTTAAAAAAAATGCAGATCTATTCTTAAACTTGATATTTTTCTATTTGAGCTGAGGTCTTGCTATGTTACCTAGGCTGATCTAGAGCTCCTGAGCTCAGGAGATCCTCCTGCATCAGCCTCCTGAGTAGCTGGGATTATAGATATGCATGGCTGCACCCAGCTTTAAATTGGACGGTTCCTGATGATTCTGTATTTTCCATATTAATATAAATTTCCTGTCTAAGTTAAAAAGTCTTCTTTAAAAAGAAAGGTGCATGTATCTTTTTGGGAATAAGTTAATGGCATTTTATTTTTGTTAGTGATGAGTTGGATTTTTTTTTTTTTTTTTTTTTTTTTTTAGGGGGCAGAGTCTTGCTCTGTCACCCAGGTTGGAACGTGGTGGCGCGGCCTCTGCTCACTGCAAGCTACACTCTCGGGTTCAAGCAATTCTCCTGCCTCAGCCTCCTGAGTAGCTGGGATTGCAGGCATGCACCACTGTGCCTGGTTAATTTTTGTATTTTTAGTGGAGATGGGGTTCATCATGTTGGCCAGGATGGTCTCGAACTCCTGACCTTAGGTGATCCACCTGCCTTGGCCTCCCAAAGTGCTGGGATTACAGGTGTGAGCCACCATGCCCGGCTGTGAGTTGGATTTTTAAAGGGGAATATTACTTATATCCACAATTTTAATAATGACACAGAACTGAAATAAGACATCTAAAGAATAAGTAGATCTGGAGAAGACTCTAGAACATTTTGTACAACTGCTTCTCACTTGAAGAGCCTCCTTCTTGAGCTGTTCTCTGCCCAAATTTAGGAAGATTAGTGTCTGATTTGATAGTTCCACCATGTAATAAATTCACGCTTAAAAAATCTAGCAGTCATTTGAAATGTCTTTGTAAATATGAATGATACATGCATTTAATTTTTATTCAAATCTTGAATGCAAATGGTCTCTTTCACTCATTTTAACATGAAATTAATGATATAAATTATGTAAACTTTGAATCCAGGAGATTTTTTCATTTATTCCTTGGAATATGAATTAATTTATAACTACATTAACATGTAAATCTTAAACACATAAATCTGAACCTAAGCAAGTATGCCATAAATATGGTTTCACTACAGGTGGTACTTGTAAATAAAATAAGTTGAGTAGTGGCAGGTGATGAACAACATCTAGAATAATTTGGCTCTCTTTAGGAAATGTGGGAAAAGTGAGTATGTTCTGTGCTCTATCCACGTAGTTTGAAATGCATACATGTCTGTTAGCTAGCAGCAGTTTGGACGTTATGTTAGAAGAAACTAACATCATCTACAATGCTTGGATTTATGAACACTCCTACAACTTCCTAACCATCTTCATTCCAAGCTATGAAACTTTTATCTTTGTGTAGCTTTTCCTTTTCCAAAATTTTTAAATAAAAGTTATTCTACAGTTCAAATATGCTTAGGCTTAAAGCAGCCTTCCCTGGACCAAGGAATCCTTTCTATAACTTCCTGTTATCAGAGGAAATTCCTCAGTATCAAGTAATGACCATGCAACAGCTTTTAAGTGCTTTGTTTCCTGGAAGTTGAGCCTCACATGGGAGTATTTTTCTGATGTGTGGATCTCTGCAGCACGGCAATCTCACAGATGTACGTGGTACCTAGGAATGGCAATCCCTAGTCACATGCACAAACAACAGGAAAACAAAGGATACCTTGTGGGTGCAAAGGAGTGCATCTTAACATTTCCATCTGAATTTTGCTTACTAAACCTCAGCCTATTAATAATAGACCTCTATCTCCTCTTCTTCACCCATCTTGTTTCTGCTTCTGTTTAATTAATTGATTGATTGATTTTTTTTGAGATGGAGTCTTGCTCTGGTGCCCAGGCTGGAGTGCAGTGGTATGATCTTGACTCACTGCAGTCTTTGCCTCCTGAGCTCAAATGATCCTCCTGCCTCAGCCTCCTGAGTAGCTGGGATTACAGGAGGGCACCACCATGCCTGGCTAATTTTTGTAGTTTTAGTAGAGATGGGGTTTTGCCATGTTGGCCAGGCTGGTCTCAAATTCCTGACCTCAAGTGATCCTTCCGCCTCAGCCTCCCAAAGTTCTGGGTTTACAGGCATGAGCTGCCACACCCAGACGCTGCTCCCATTTTAAACCAGACCCACGATGGGCCTCCTGTGCCCTTATTTGTTGGTCCAGACTGCTAACTACCCCACTGCATCTGCTTTGTGCTCAGCTTCTCACTCTCGTGTGCAAACCCCTCGGCATGCTATTTTCTACCACTCCTGCCTGGGTCTAATCTAAATGCTGTGGGTGCTGCTACTGCTTCCATCTAAGATATTGTTGGATGTGTCACTCATGCTTTAGATTGACTTATTTCTTCTGTTAGTTGGAATCTTGGCTTCCTGACACTGAGTTCTAGTTTTCTAAAGATGTGTCAAACAGAGTACTGGAATAGCTGGTTTTGCTTGGAAACAGCAGACTTTTAGCCCTTAGAGTATATATGTACCCACAGATTAGCTGGGCTTCAGTGATTTCAAGTAATGGCCATTCTGCTTGCCTGGAAGCCACCACTTCCCCTCCCACCTGTAAACCTTGTGGCTGAATGTAGCAAGAGCCAGACTCCTTCTTTGAGGCAGCTTTTCTCCATGCGGGTCTCAGGTCCTCAAATCAGGCTTAGTTCTATTGCCCGAACCTCAATCCTGGCCACCATTAGAGTTCTCTCCCTGTCACCGCCTAGATTCCTTAACCCCCATCAAAACCAGTGGGTGCACAGACCCATGAAAGTGTCCAGGAATAGGGAGGGAGTTTTCAGTCCTACCTTCAAGACTCGAATAGGACTTGTAGCTCAGTCCAGACACCCCGTTACAGATGAAGGAAAACTTCATTTTATCTAAGTTGTTGCAGGGAAGAAAAGACTAGAGGGAAGATCTTGGATTTGCAGGATTTTGTAGGCAGACACGATAAAGAAAGCTTTCGACATAGAAGAAAGTTTGGGCCTTTAGAACTCAGGTGTGTATGCAGCAAATGGTCATGTTTGGGAAGTCAAAATGAAGCAGCGTGGTCGTCTGGGCTACATACCTGAGGTCCATCATCTCATGCCAAGAAGATTAAGGTCGTGGACACACAAGGAGTGAGTTTAGGAGCGGAGGTTTAATAGACCAAAGAAAAAGAAAGGAGAACAGCTTTTACTCTTTTGAGAGAGAGGCTCCCAAATGGGAATTCTGACCCGTGGCAGAGAGCACTGGATTTTATAGACAGGCTTGAGGAGGTGGTATCTAATTTACATAGGGCCCACTGATTGGTTGGACCATTTGTGATATTGACATAGCACTTGGGGGAAGGCTGGCCACCCCACCCTAATCTTATTACGCAAATATGCTTTCCACTTGGCCAGTGCTGTGTTGTCTGCTCCTCACTGTACACGTGGCTGGCAAAGAGAAGTGAACATGGAGCTGCCATGTTGACC